CGATTGTGTTCTCATCATTTTATTGACGAATAACGTTAGTTCAATAAATGAATTCAAATGTGGATTCGCAAGCGGTTGTTCCTGAAGGAGGCTCAGTACTTACTTACCCAGTGTATATGGATCAGCTTCCTCCTTCGAATCACAACCTGTAAGTATTATTAATAATTGTTGCTTTTTTATGGGTTTTGAACGGTTTTGTTGCGTCGGGGCGCGAGGCAGTATGTGTGTGCGCGTGTGTGTGTAAGTTACGCTCAGCGCAGCTTCTAGGTCTCCAATGTCAATTTTTTTTAAATATGTGAAGTGTTTGTCGCTGTTATTGGAGTTGTCATAAAGAATAGAGCGTCTTGTAGTACTGTAGCGCTTTATCAATATGTTTACGCGTTATGCTAACAAACAACTGACTGGGTCCGTCATCTGACCAATCACCGCCGATTAGCGTCACGCAAAGGAGTGGTTTGGAAAAATGAGTCGTTGTACGAATCATTTGGGCGTCGGTGAGGAAATCAGTTAAAAATAAATGCATATTATAAGACAAATAAAGTGTTTTTTATCCTTGCATGCATGTTAAACTGTTTTTGGGAACTCCTAAAACAAAAACAGGAACATTTCAAATGCTACGATAGGGGCTCTTTAAAGTACTCCTAATGTGCTATTTCAAAGGTTCCTGATTTCATCTGACGGTGTCTGAAACAATTCGATCAAGACCCCTAAACCCTAAGATCTCTAAACCCCTCCTCTCTAGAGTCTACTCTGCTCTGATTGGTCAGATGGCCCAGTCTGTTGTGATTGGTCTACTCTGCACTGATTGGTCAGATAGTCTGTTGTGATTGATCTACTATGCTCTGATTGGTCAGATGGCCCAGTCTGTTGTGATTGGTCTACTCTGCTCTGATTGGTCAGATGGCCCAGTCTGTTGTGATTGTCTACTCTGCTCTGATTGGTCAGATGGCCCAGTCTGTTGTGATTGGTCTACTCTGCTCTGATTGGTCAGATGGCCCAGTCTGTTGTGATTGGTCTACTCTGCTCTGATTGGTCAGATGGCCCAGTCTGTTGTGATTAGTCTACTCTGCTCTGATTGGTCAGATGGCCCAGTCTGTTGTGATTGGTCTACTCTGCTCTGATTGGTCAGATGGCCCAGTCTGTTGTGATTAAAGATCAGAGTAGACCTATCACAACAGACTGGGTCATTGACCAATCAGAGCAAAGTAAACTCTCAAAAAGGAGGGGCTTAGAGAGATTGTACTAATTCTTTCATACACCGAGAAAAGAGCTGATGCTGCAAATAGAATTAAAGTTTATAAAAAGATATATTAAATGACTGATATTCAAGAGATAACTCGACTTCAATAGACGGCTCATTAGTCTCACATGCAGAAGTGTGTTTGTGTCCTCCAGCTGTGGTCAGGGGTGTTGATGACGTGATGCCCGGACAGATCCCGGACCCCTCGGGGACGGCGGGCGCTCTGCCCAGTCTGGGCCCTCTGGTGGGCATCTCTGCCACCACACTCACCCAACACCTGAAGTACGCCGACCTCTACAACCTCGGGGCCATGCTGTCGCCTCTACATCTACTGGGGAAACTGGGCAAGCGGCCGCACCCCATTAAAGCTGAGGTGAGCTTCTTCATGCTTTAATCTGAGGGCATCTGAAGAAAACAGCACTTTATTTACTTGAACTATATAATCTGCAGGCAAACTAAAAAGTGGAGCTGTAAACTGCTTTGCTAAAAATCTAAATTGACCATTCTTATTTTTTTATTGAATATTGCAGTGTTTATTATAAACAAATCATTGCTTTAGATCTTTCATCAGAATAACTTCCCCTCCCTCTTGCAGCGACATCTCTTCTCTTCTCTGATGTTGGCATCACATTTGTCTCTAGACTACATGTAAACATGCATATGAGCTGTTGAATTTTTTTTTTTTAAGTTTTAAATAAAAAAAAATAAATATTGGAGTTTGTTTTTACAAGAAAATCTAATTTCAGTCTTTCTACTTAAAAATTTTACATTTTACCATTTCTTTGTAATTATTTGTATATTTGATAAGTAATTTCTAATTCAAAACTGTTTCAAAGTAAACCCAGCACCAATTTTCCTTCCAGTGTATCAGCCAATCAGAAAGCTTGATGGTGCAGCTCTTTCTTTACAGGTGTGTGAGTTTGGAGCAGCACTGCCTGACCCGTGTGTACCTGGGAAGATCAGGCAGATCTGTGTGTTTGTGCAGTCAGTGTTAAAACATATCGGTGGTGGTGTTTTCTGTGCACTTATCAAACTGCACTGACTCCATCTAGTGGACAGGCGGTCACTGCTTCAACTAAACAAACTGTGAAATCATAAAAACAAATTTATATAATGAAACATAAAAGCAAAATGCCATCTGGCCCAAACTATATCAGGCTATTTTTGCAGTGACAGTGACCTCTACATTAGTGATATATAGATTAGGTAAACACAGTATATGGTCACACACTTAAAGCTGCACTCACAGTAAACTAAAGGGTGGTAAAGTGGTACTCATAAATATTTATTTTATTATAAATACTGGACTGTAAATATTTTTATTTGAGATATAAATATTTTATATCGGACTATTTATTACATTTTCTGCCTTTTCATCGAGTTTGATATTGGCGATGTTAGTAGCGTGTTTTTCAAAGCATAGCTCTATAAAGAACAGAGCGATACGTGTTCATTTGAGCAGATGTTGCTGACTGAACAGCTGCTACTGTTAATGCAGACTGACTGAATGTAATTTATTAAAGAAGTTTGTATTATACCCTTGTACGTGACTTGTGCGTTATTTTTTACTATTAAACGACAAGCATTTCATAATCGCCATATGTTCAGGCTCAGTTTATGTGATCAGTAAAACTGATTTTTTTTTTTACTAGTTATACTATAACGTTTTTATGCTATACTGTAGCTTTCATTCTGCAAAAGTCTGTTGATATTTCAATTTATTAATGCATTTCACAATTTGATGGCAAACAGGAAGTTTTTTCACTCTAGCCTGCAGAATACTATGATTACATTTTTACTTTTCTGTCCTTTTTTTCTTCTTCTTTGATTTAGATAACATGTTTATATAAATTCCAACCAGAAATGAATAATTATCAACAGCGCTTTATTAACAAAATTAACAAAACACTTTAAATGCATGTATGTCACTTAGTGGTCAAAAATGATAAAGCTCTTAAAAATTGTCAATAGTCTGCAACTATATTTGTACTCTTACAATACTCTTTTCTTTCTTTATTTTTTCTAAATATTGCATTCAACTTCCTTGAATTTAAAGGTGAATATTGAATGTTTTAAACAGGTTGCCTAAACAAATTACCTACTTTAATGGCAGATTGTAGGAAATTTGGCAGACTCATTAAAAGCCTTCATTTTTGCTGTTGCCAGAAAGATGAAGAGGAAGACCGGAGGAAAAGAAGGCGAGAGAAAAACAAAGTGGCAGCAGCAAGATGTCGAAACAAAAAGAAAGAGAGAACGGAGTATCTCCAAAGGGTAAGTGGTTCATGTGAAAGAGTCAACATGCAGAGCCAACGGGATAGTTCACCCAAAAATGAAAATTAGCCCATGATTCACTCACCATGAAAACATCCTAGGTTAGACATCCCCTTCTTTCAGACGAATACAATCAGAATAAAAATGTCCTGGCTCTTCCAAGCTTTATAATGGCAGTGAATGGCTGTTTCTGTTTTGAACTCCATCAAATTAATCTGCCTATCAAAAAAGTGCATCTCTCCATCATAAAAGTGCATCTATCCATCAAAAAAGTACATCTATTCATCATAAAAGTGCATCTATCCATCATAAAAAGTACATCTTTCCATCATAAAAGTGCATCTATTCATCATAAAAGTGCATCTATCCATCATAAAAGTGCATCTATCCATCATAAAAAGGGCATCTATTCATCATAAAAGTGCATCTATTCATCATATAAGTTCATCTATCCATCATAAAAGTGCATCTATTCATCATAAAAAGTGCATCTGTCCATCATAAAAGTGCATCTATCCATCATAAAAGTGCATCTATCCATCATAAAAGTGCATCTATCCATCATAAAAGTGCATCTATTCATCATAAAAGTGCATCTGTCCATCATAAAAGTGCATCTATTCATCATAAAAGTGCATCTATTCATCATATAAGTGCATCTGTCCATCATAAAAGTGCATCTATCCATCATAAAAGTGCATCTATTCATCATAAAAGTGCATCTGTCCATCATAAAAGTGCATCTGTCCATCATAAAAGTGCATCTATCCATCATAAAAGTGCATCTATCCATCATAAAAGTACATCTTTCTGTCATAAAAGTGCATCTGTCCATCATAAAAGTGCATCTATCCATCATAAAAGTATATCTTTCCGTCATAAAAGTGCATCTATCCATCATAAAAGTGCATCTGTCCATCATAAAAGTGCATCTATCCATCATAAAAGTGCATCTTTGCATCATAAAAGTGCATCTATCCATCATAAAAGTGCATCTGTCCATCATAAAAGTGCATCTGTCCATCATAAAAGTGCATCTATCCATCATAAAAGTGCATCTGTCCATCATAAAAGTGCATCTATCCATCATAAAAGTGCATCTTTGCATCATAAAAGTGCATCTATCCATCATAAAAGTGCATCTGTCCATCATAAAAGTGCATCTATCCATCATAAAAGTACATCTTTCCGTCATAAAAGTGCATCTACCATCATAAAAGTGCATCTGTCCATCATAAAAGTGCATCTATCCATCATAAAAGTACATCTTTCCGTCATAAAAGTGCATCTATCCATCATAAAAGTGCATCTGTCCATCATAAAAGTGCATCTATCCATCATAAAAGTGCATCTATCCATCATGAAAGTGCATCTTTGCATCATAAAAGTGCATCTATCCATCATAAAAGTGCATCTATCCATCATGAAAGTGCATCTATTCATCATATAAGTGCATCTGTCCATCATAAAAGTGCATCTATCCATCATAAAAGTGCATCTATCCATCATATAAGTGCATCTATCCATCTTAAAAGTGCATCTATCCATCATAAAAGTACATCTTTCCGTCATAAAAGTGCATCTATCCATCATAAAAGTATATCTTTCCGTCATAAAAGTGCATCTATCCATCATAAAAGTGCATCTGTCCATCATAAAAGTGCATCTATCCATCATAAAAGTGCATCTATTCATCATAAAAGTGCATCTTTGCATCATAAAAGTGCATCTATCCATCATAAAAGTGCATCTGTCCATCATAAAAGTGCATCTATCCATCATAAAAGTGCATCTGTCCATCATAAAAGTGCATCTTTGCATCATAAAAGTGCATCTATCCATCATAAAAGTGCATCTATCCATCATAAAAGTGCATCTGTCCATCATAAAAGTACATCTTTCCATCATAAAAGTGCATCTATCCATCATAAAAGTGCATCTATCCATCATAAAAGTGCATCTGTCCATCATAAAAGTTCATCTTTCCATTCTCTCTAAGATACACTTTTATGGACGGCTATTTACTGCCATTATAAAGCTTTGAAGAGCCAGGACATTTTTTAATATAACTCCGATTGTATTTGTCTGATAGAAGAATGTCATATACACCTTGAGGATGAGTAAATCATGGGGTAATTTTCATTTTCGGGTGAACTATCCCTTTAACGTGCCTCAACTCTTCCGTTGAAGGAATCTGAACGCCTAGAGATGATGAACTCGGAGCTGAAGTCACAGATCGAGGAGCTGAAGCACGAACGACAGCAGCTCATACTGATGCTCAATCGCCATCGGCCCACATGCATCGTGAGGACAGACAGCATCAAGAGCCCTGAGAAAGAGGCCGAATGAGAAGGATCACACATTCCCATGTTACTGTTTACAGGTTAGCTCTTCTGCTGACTGAAGCACTTGGCTCAAAGCACTTGGACATTTTAAGGAAGAGAAAATGGCATTCGTTCTCTGACCTTCGAGGTTGGTGAGGTGCGACTAAACAAAGCAACAAGAGAAACACATCGATGGCCTCAGTATTGGGCTGTGTGTTAGTTACGAAACTTTTATGGGATTGTTTTTCTCCTGTAAAACTTTTTTTTGTCATAAAGTGCCTTGTTTGTTTTGGTCAGTTTAGGAAAGAGTTGTGTAAAGTTTGTTATGACTTCATGAAAACACTCATCGCACGCCATGTAAACTGGACGATTCTTCATGGACTATCCCACCGTTTGCTGCCTTCAGTTGGGTTTTTTGTTTTTCTGACGCAGGCGTCATGTATGCACATATGTATGAACTGTTTACATCTTGCCAATTTATTATAGTTATCTACTATATATATATGATTTTTATACTTCCTGTACATGGACTTATCACTAGACGTGATACATTTTATGCAACAAACAATTTCATAACCTCTATTTCTGTGACTTATTCAATTTGTTGTACAGCTGTGAAAACTGCAAGCAATTATTAAACAAGTGTTTTCCAAATGTTTTTTTTTTGCCATTATCAAAAATGTTTTTGAGTTGGACAACCTGCAGCCATTTTCCATTGTCATTTTTAGTCAGAGTACATACATAAAATAAAACACAGAAACCTACAGTCCAACTCAGAATCATAATACACTATGTTTGATTGGAACTCTTTGGTCTCTGATTTATGTGTCATTGAGTGGTGAAAGATAGTTTTTGCTGCTTCCAACTCTCATGGTGTGTTCACGCGAATAGAGTGTCTACGGAGCCCCTCTAGTCCCACTTTGGTAAAAAAAAATTCATTATAACTATCTTGAGGCCTCAAGATAGTAACTCGTGGCCTCAAGATAGTAACTCGTGGCCACAAGATAGTAACTCGTGGCCTCAAGATAGTAACTCGTGGCCTCAAGATAGTAACTTGAGGCCACGAGTTAGTATCTTGAGGCCACGAGTTAGTATCTTGTGGCCACGAGTTAGTATCTTGTGGCCACGAGTTAGTATCTTGTGGCCACGAGTTACTATCTTGAGGCCACGAGTTACTATCTTGAGGCCACGAGTTACTATCTTGAGGCCACGAGTTACTATCTTGAGGCCACGAGTTACTATCTTGAGGCCACGAGTTAGTATCTTGTGGCCACGAGTTACTATCTTGAGGCCACGAGTTACTATCTTGAGGCCACGAGTTACTATCTTGAGGCCACGAGTTAGTATCTTGAGGCCACGAGTTAGTATCTTGAGGCCACGAGTTACTATCTTGAGGCCACGAGTTACTATCTTGAGGCCACGAGTTACTATCTTGAGGCCACGAGTTACTATCTTGAGGCCACGAGTTACTATCTTGAGGCCACGAGTTACTATCTTGAGGCCACGAGTTACTATCTTGAGGCCACGAGTTAGTATCTTGAGGCCACGAGTTAGTATCTTGTGGCCACGAGTTAGTATCTTGTGGCCACGAGTTAGTATCTTGTGGCCACGAGTTACTATCTTGAGGCCACGAGTTACTATCTTGAGGCCACGAGTTACTATCTTGAGGCCACGAGTTACTATCTTGAGGCCACGAGTTACTATCTTGAGGCCACGAGTTAGTATCTTGTGGCCACGAGTTACTATCTTGAGGCCACGAGTTACTATCTTGAGGCCACGAGTTACTATCTTGAGGCCACGAGTTACTATCTTGAGGCCACGAGTTAGTATCTTGAGGCCACGAGTTAGTATCTTGAGGCCACGAGTTACTATCTTGAGGCCACGAGTTACTATCTTGAGGCCACGAGTTACTATCTTGAGGCCACGAGTTACTATCTTGAGGCCACGAGTTACTATCTTGAGGCCACGAGTTACTATCTTGAGGCCACGAGTTACTATCTTGAGGCCACGAGTTACTATCTTGAGGCCACGAGTTACTATCTTGAGGCCACGAGTTACTATCTTGTGGCCACGAGTTAGTATCTTGAGGCCACGAGTTACTATCTTGTGGCCACGAGTTAGTATCTTGAGGCCACGAGTTACTATCTTGAGGCCACGAGTTAGTATCTTGAGGCCACGAGTTACTATCTTGTGGCCACGAGTTAGTATCTCGTGGCCACGAGTTACTATCTTGAGGCCACGAGTTACTATCTTGTGGCCACGAGTTACTATCTTGTGGCCACGAGTTAGTATCTTGAGGCCACGAGTTACTATCTTGAGGCCACGAGTTACTATCTTGAGGCCACGAGTTACTATCTTGTGGCCACGAGTTACTATCTTGAGGCCACGAGTTACTATCTTGAGGCCACGAGTTACTATCTTGAGGCCACGAGTTAGTATCTTGAGGCCACGAGTTACTATCTTGAGGCCACGAGTTACTATCTTGAGGCCACGAGTTAGTATCTTGAGGCCACGAGTTACTATCTTGTGGCCACGAGTTAGTATCTTGAGGCCACGAGTTACTATCTTGTGGCCACGAGTTAGTATCTTGAGGCCACGAGTTACTATCTTGAGGCCACGAGTTACTATCTTGAGGCCACGAGTTACTATCTTGTGGCCACGAGTTACTATCTTGAGGCCACGAGTTACTATCTTGAGGCCACGAGTTACTATCTTGTGGCCACGAGTTACTATCTTGTGGCCACGAGTTACTATCTTGAGGCCACGAGTTACTATCTTGAGGCCACGAGTTACTATCTTGAGGCCACGAGTTACTATCTTGAGGCCACGAGTTACTATCTTGAGGCCACGAGTTACTATCTTGAGGCCACGAGTTACTATCTTGAGGCCACGAGTTACTATCTTGTGGCCACGAGTTACTATCTTGTGGCCACGAGTTACTATCTTGAGGCCACAAGATAGTTATAATTAATACGCACACTTTTTATTAGTCAAATTCATTAAAAAAAATTTAAACTCAAGTATAGAATATAAGTAGGCTAATACTGTTGTTAATGAGAAGACAGAAGACTATTGCAGGTTAGTGGATAAATATATTTGGCCTATTTATTATTCAGAATCGAACAGTTAGAAAGAAAATATATTTATAGGAACATTTCAGCAGGCTCAAGATAATTAATACAGAGATCGTTTGTCACAAGGACATCCAAAGTTCTTCAAAATAACACATGGAGGACGTTAAATGCCATTTTCATATTTATTTATGTTCTCCCAACTTCGTAAAGTGCAAGGTGCTCACAGGTAAGGTAGCAGGAAAAATTTACAAAAAAACAAATAAAAAAAAATAAAGTCAAGATACCAAAAAAACAGCCTTGCATCAGGCCTACTACTTCAATCACAGCAGTCAGTTGATACAGCATTCACTACCAACAGTCTTTACCCTCCTGATCACTTCTTTCTGTGAGAATTTATACCCCTAGGGGCAACCATTTCTCACCAATAATCACATGGGGAAGTAATAAAGATCATGAACAGCTAATAAATATCAATTAAAAATATGTGATCAAGTAACTTCATTTTCTTCACCACACAAAGTTAAATAACAGCACAACTTCACTGAATTTCAACAATAATCAAAAGAAGTTCACATTAACATCCCAATTCCCCTTCCCTTAACACCATACTTGGTATCTCCCACTTCCCATGATGCAACACAGCACAGGTATAAAAAACATAAGAAAAGTCCATTCCAGTCTTTTACCCAATTCAAGATGGCCACCACCCTGTATGCTGCTTCAGGTGACAATCAACAGTCTGCAACAAATGTTAAATGTCCTCAGGGTTAGTGCTCAGGTGGCCAGTCTGAGACACAACAGCACAGTTGTGAATACATTTGTGTGGACAATCCATCTCTCATGTTGCTGGTACACTAAGGTAAATAAAGAGTCTTTAAAAACCAAGTATGTGTTCATGTGTTTTGTGGAAGAGCTAACCAGGGGTCACAAAGAGCTGAGGGTAGCTCTGTGACACTTCTCCCTCCTTCTGCAGACGACCCCTGTCGTCCCCAGTGTCAAAGCTCTGCCCCTCCACGAACCCAGGTCGAAGAACCCACTTTAGCATTCACCTCCTCTGGGATTCGGGACAAAAAGTCAGCCACCTTGTTCCTAGCTCCCGGACAGTATTTCACAGTGAACTGGTAGGGCTGGAGAGAAAGAGACCATCTTGTAATCCGGGCATTCGAGTCTTTCATACGCTCCAGCCATTGCAGAGCTCGATGGTCGGTTTCTAACACAAAGGGTCTCCCCAACAGGTAGTATCGAAGGGAATCCGTGGCCCATTTAATGGCCAAGCACTCCTGTTCCACAGTCGAATAGCGCGTTTCTCGAGGGAAAAGTTTTCGACTCAAGAATGCCACTGGCCTGCGATCTCCATCCACTTCCTGCAGTAACACCGCCCCCAGTCCGACTCCAGAGGCATCCGTCTGCAGGATGAATGGCTTCTGGAAATCTGGGCTAAGCAGAACAGAGTCCCCACATACTGCTTCTCGTAAGTCCCGGAAAGCTCGCTCACCCTGCTCCGTCCAGACCACCTTGTTGGGCGCAGCGGATCTAGTGAGATCTGTAAGCACAGAGGCCCTGGCAGAAAAGTTAGGTATAAACCTGCGATACCATCCCACCAAGCCCAGGAAGGATCTCACCTGTTTCTTAGTTGTGGGGGGTTGGTACCTTCGGATAGCCTCTATCTTCTCCTGCTGAGGCCGGATAACTCCTCCTCCAATCACAAATCCCAAGTAACTGATCTCTCTCTTGGCCATTATACACTTCTTAGGGTTAATGGTAAGACCGGCTGCCTTAATCCTCCCCAGGACTTGCTGCAGATGTTGACAGTGTTCTTCCCAGGTTTCACTAAAGATGACCACATCATCCAGATATGCCGCAGCAAACTCCCTGGTACCTTGCAGGATTTGGTCCATTAAACGTTGGAAAGTTGCTGGCGCCCCCTGCAGGCCAAAGGGCATAACCCTGAAATGGAATAACCCAAAGGGGGTCTTAAAAGCGGTCAGTTGCTTGGCTCTGGCAGTTAAAGGGACCTGCCAGTACCCCTTGCATAAGTCCACAGTGGATAGGTATTTGGCTCTGCCCAGTCTTTCCACCAACTCATCAATTCTTGGCATGGGATAAGGGTCTACCTTGGACAGGCTGTTCAGCTGTCTGAAGTCAATGCAAAATCTAAGGGTTCCATCCTTTTTGGGGACTAGAACAATGGGGCTACACCACTCACTAAGCGATGGTTCAATCACACCCATGGAGAGCATAATATCTAGTTCATCCTTAAGCACTGTCACCAGGCGTTCAGGGATCCGGTAACTCTTCTGGCGGGCGGGTGTTGCCTCCTTAAGTATGACATCATGACGTACCAGGTTAGTACACCCAGGCTTCTCCTGAAACAGCCTGGGATCCACCAGCTGCTTTATCTGGTCTATTTGAGGTTGCTCTAGGTGGGATAAATCCACAGCTTGTTGGGCGAAACTGGTTGGAAAGTACTGCTCTGTTGGTTCATCTTCCTCCCCAACCACACGAACGAAAAGTTGCACAGCCTCGGTCTCCTTCCTGTGGTGGAATTCTTTCAACAAATTAACATGGAAGTTTTGCTTTTTCT